AAGCCAAGGATTCTATTTGCTTTATTGCGAACACCTATGCACTGTTGTCTTGGTTTCAGATTACTGCTAACCAGAACTCCTAAATCTTTTTCGCAATCCGTAATACTAAGATCTACATTATTTACTTTATTTGTGGCATGGTTATTGTCCTGTCCAACATTTAGAACTTTGCATCTGTCTATATTAAACTGCATCTGCCACTTCTCCGACCACTGTATCAGTCTATTTAAATCTTCCTGGAGTGCTCTAATGTCCTCGTCAGAATGAATTCGACGGCCTATTTTGGTGTCATCGGCAAACTTGCTGATGTCGCTCTTTATGCCCTCATCTATGTCGTTTATGTAGATTGTGAACAGCAGGGGGCCCAACACTGACCCCTGTGGAACACCGCTCGTGACGCTTCCCCACTCTGATTTCTCCCCATTTATGCAAACTCTCTGCTGCCTATTTGTCAACCATGCCTCTATCCAGGAAAAAATTTCTCCTCCTATTCCATGTGCCTTAATTTTCCTCAATAGTCTCTGATGTGGAACTATCGAAAGCCTTACTGAAGTCCATATACACTATCATATTCATTACCATGATCTACCTCCTCAAATACCTTAGTAAACAAAGTTAATAAATTCGTAAGGCAGGAACGCCCCTTTGTAAAACCATGCTGAGATTCGTTGATTAATTTATGCTTTTCAAGGTGGCTACGAACTGCCTCGGCAATTATTGACTCCATAAATTTTCCCACTATGGAGGTTAGGCTTATTGGTCTATAGTTCGAAGCTAAGGACCTGTCACCTGCTTTGAAAATAGGTATCACATTTGCTATTTTCCACTTATCTGGCACCATGCCAGTTTGTAGTGATATGTTGAAAAGATTAGCCAAAGGTTTGCTAAGCTCCTCTTTACATTCCTTTAGAACCCTTGCATACAGTTCATCAGGGCCTGGGGATTTGTTAGATTTTAATTTATCTATTTGCCTAAGGACCATGTCACTTGTGACCCTAATCGTGCAAAGTTTATTATCGTCCTGTTCTACATAATTTATCATTACTGGAATATCGCTGGTATCCTCTTGTGTAAAAACTGAGAGGAAGTATGTGTTAAAAATTCTACACATTTCCTTATCACTGTCGGTGAGCTGACCCGAGGAACTTTTGAGTGGGCCTATCTTGGCCCTGATCTTACTTCTGTATACCTGAAAGAATCCTTTTGGGTTAGTCTTCGATTCTCTTGCAACTTTAACCTCATAATCTCTTTTTGCTTTTCTAATTCCCTTTTTTATTTCTCTCTTTAACTGAATATATTGATTTCTTAATTGCCCCTCTCCTCTTTTGATTTGCCTATATATTCCTCTCTTTTGACCAATCAGATATTTTAATCTATTGTTCATCCATTTAGGACCATTTTTGTTTGATCTGATTTCCCTATTTGGAACATAATTTGACTGAGCAGCTAGAACTATGCCCTGGAAAGCGTCATATCGGCAACCATCACCACCTACCTGACCCTTAGTCAGGTCATTCCAGTTCAGCCCACCTAAGTAATTTTTCAGTCCTATGAAATCAGCCAAGCGAAAGTCAGGGATGGAGACTTGATTGCCATTATTAGGGGAATTCCATGATATATTAAAACTGAGTGATTTGTTATCACTTTCCCCAAGCTCATCATTAACCTCAAGATTATTAATTAGTGTTTCCCTACTGGCAAGAACCAGGTCAAGGAGGTTATTTCCCCTAGTTGGCTCTGTCACAAACCGTTTTAAAAAACAATCCTGGATTGTATCAAGAAAGTCACCTGACTCTAAATTTCCTGTCAAATTCCTCCAGTTAATCTGTCTATAGTTGAAATCTCCCATTAGCACAACATTTTCGTATGTAGATGCCTTACGAATTTGGGCCCATAGAAGTTTACTGCACTCCCTATCAAGATTTGGGGCCCTGTAAATCACACCCAAAATTAGTTTTTCTCGGCCCTCGAGAAGCTGTAACCAAACCGATTCAGTGGCCGACGCTAATTTTATATCTTGTCTAACACAACAATTTAAATTGTCTCTGACATACATCGCTACTCCACCACCCTTCCTGTTGACCCTGTCAGTGTGGAATAATTTATAGCCTTGTATGTGACATTCAGAGGGCATCTCTCTATCTTTCAAATTGAGCCAGGTCTCTGTTATAGCAATAATATCTATGTTCCCTGCACTTGCAATTAATCTTAGCTCATCTATCTTATTTTTTACACTCCTGCTATTAGTATAGTAAACCTTAAGGGAGCTAATCCCTTGCTGTCCTCTGCTGTCCCCCTTTGTTTGCTGACCTGATCTATTGCCTTTATTTATAACTTCATGCTGAATGCCTTTTATTCACTTACTGTTTCCAACCCTAGTATTGCAACCTGCTTGTTTCCCACACACACCCATACCTCTATCTTCTATCAGTTTAAAATCATAGGAATTTCACCAATGGCCTTCTCAATTGAGTTTGCAAGTGCTACCACCCCAGCCCCAGAGAGATGTACCCCATCCCATGCATACATATCATGTTTGCCATAAAAGTTGTTCCAGTTGTCAATGAATGGGATTGCAAGTTCCTTGCAGTGTCTGTCTAGCCAGCAATTTACACCAATTGCCCTAGACAACCATTCATTTCCTACTCCCCTTCTAGGCAATATGCTACATATGATTGGGACCCCTCCCTTAGACTTAATGAAATCTACAGCTGACCTGTACTTATCTAGCAGCTCCTCTCTCCTACCCTTCCCAATGTCATTTCCACCAGCACTGAGACAGATAATGGGCTTGTTCCCATTACCTGACATGATATTATCCAGCCTGTTAACTATGTCCCCAACACCAGCTCCAGGGAAGCACACACTATCTCTCATCTTCTTATTCCTATTACAAAAAACACGGTCAATATATCTTACCTGAGAGTCACCAACCACAAGAATGCGCTTACCTCTGTTAGCAGGGTCAGTAGTACCCTTACTTTCACTGGCCGCTGAAGTACATTCATCCTGAAGAACAGAGAAGCGATTTCCTACCTTCAGATCTTCACTCTTAGCTTTCCTTATTCTAATTCTCCTCCCATTACTGGTTACCACTCGCCACTTGTAGCAGGTGCTGGACTGCACCTCACTGCTGGTAGCCGTTGCTACCTCCCCACCTACAGCCTCCTCACAGCGAGAGACTGCACCTCACTGCTAGAAGCCTCATTCCCCACAACTCCAGCCACCTCACACTCTCTCCCAAACCCATTAAGGTGGACCTTCAGCCTCCTAATCTCCTCCTGGAGAAGCAAGACCTCCTCCTTCAACTCTCCAACCTTAATGTAGAGCAAAATCCTACTAACGAGCCAACCATTCGGATTTTGATCTGCAGATTTTTATATATCAAAAACTTGTCCGATATTATAAGCCACAATAAAAAAAAATAAAGAAAAAAATTATGGGGAGGATATTTAACCTAAATTTAGGAAAGCTTTTCATAGTTTGCTATAAAAGACTAATTCGAAAACTTCGACACACTGGAGAATAAATGGAAAAATATTGCAAGGGATGAGAGACTTTCTATTTCAGAGAAAAAGGCAAACAGTGATAGAGGAGAAAAAGGTCATAGGGATTTATCATGAATGGGGTACCATAAGTATGTGTGTGCATGCCTCAGTATTGTTATCAAATTAAATAAATGACATACCAGAAGGAACAGAAAAATGAAATGAAAAAGGATGATGTAATTTAACATTCCTATTTGACATATAACCAAAATGAGAGAAAGCAAAATTCAGCCACAGGAAGACTACAGATCGCATAAACTATTAAAAAAGCCTGAGAGAAGTATCTAGAAGATAATGGATAGTTATATAAATGAAATTGTAAGGAACTTGTATGCTACACTGGCAGTTTATAAACAAGCTTTAGCATGTATGGATGGAGAAATGCTAAAAAAAGATAAAAAAAAAAAATTGCAACATATGTTACGCTACTATTGACATAAGCAGTGGTTATGGTGCCATGTATTAAGAAACAACTGAATTATTTACAAGGTAGCCGAAGGTGGGCTACATAATGGTATTCAAGCTGAAAACACTAGAGACCGTAGAAACTACTAGCGTCTAAGAGAAAACACCATAAGTGTCCGGGGCCCAAGACTGTTCAACAGCCTCCCATCAAGCATTAGGGGAATTGCCAATAAACCCCTGGCTGCCTTCAAGAGAGAGCTGGACAGATACCTAAAGTCAGTGCCGGATCAGCCGGGCTGTGGCTCGTACGTTGGACTGCGTGCGGCCAGCAGTAACAGCCTAGTTGATCAGGCCCTGATCCATCGGGAGGCCTGGTCATGGACCGGGCCGCGGGAGCGTTGATCCCCGGAATAACCTCCAAGTAACCTCCAGGTAACCTCCAGGCGAAACGTTCTCTCTAACAATTGTCCTGAAGTGTACTAAAGTGTCTTTCTCTACAACACTTAAGATGCTCACAAGAGCTGATAGGAAGAGGAAAAAGGATACATGATCATTACATGTAAGATAATAAAAATATATAAATTGAGAAAAACCTTCAATCGAAAGGTTACCAAAAAAATTTTGTCTTTGCTGAGACAGATGAATGAACATAATTAAAACAGAAGGAAGTGCTACTATACGAGGAAATAAAAGAAATTGCGGAAAAATTGTGAAGACATGACTCTACGTGCAATATTCTGCTCAGTAATATAACAATGTCCCTGAAGCCCCAGTAATATAATACAATGTACCTCAAGTTGCAGTAATGCAATACAATGTACCTCCAGCCCCATTACTACAATACAATGTACCTCAAGCCCCAGTAATATAATACAATCTACCTAATACCCCAGTAATACTACACAATATCCTTGAAGCCCCAGCAATACAACACAGTGTTGATAAAGCCCCAGTAACACCACAAAATAAAAATAAAACTCCTAAAAATACCAAATAATGACCCTGACAGCCACTGTCATCTAGCAGAGCTCCCTTTGTTTTCACCAGCTGGTGAGCTACGACAGGACCCGAGGAGGGGTGGTGGTGTCCACGGAGAAGGGCGTAGTGACCACTTCCCGTCTACTGGTGCAGTTCGCTGAGACCCGCCACACTGGACGCTACACCTGTGCTCCTGCCAATTCTACACCCAAGAGCGTCAATGTGCATGTTATTGCCGGTAAAGTATTGGTGTTCTGGTTGTGCATTTCTGTTTTCTGTGCGTTACTCTGAAAATTCTTGTAAGATTTTTCTTTTCTCTCGTGTTTTACTGATGATTTTTTTAAGATTATTTTATTTTATCGTATTTTAGTGAGATAAATGATATAAAATACCGACACCATGGAATAATGGACACAGATGCAATATACCGAGATACTTTTTAACAGTAAAGGATCGCATTATACTGCATTTGTATTTTAGTGTTGAGGGTCTTCAGTATTTTTTTTCTCTTATATTGTTGACATTCATGATATTTTTTTCTGTGTTTTATTGTCAAGTAGCTGGTTTTTTGCGTTACAGTGTTGCAATTCTTGCATTATACTTCTTTGTATATGTGATTTATCCCACTATTGAATATTTTATGGTGTAGGTGTGGTGTGGCTTCGTGTGTAGTGTCGTAGAAGATTGGCTTGGAGCCTGGCTTAGGGGCTAAGCACTTCCAATGCACAAATAACCCACACATAGGAGGGAGGGGCTAACGACGACGTTTCGGTCCGACTTGGACCATTTACAAAGTCACACTAATAGAAAGGAAAGGAGGCAGTATATATAGGCCAGCAGACGGACGGGACAAGGAAGGCAGTAGAAAAGGAAGTAGAGAGGTAGCGGTAGAGGTAGTAGTAGCAGTAGTAGTGGAGTCAAAGACTAATAACTAGGAGCACTGCAAGAGAGCTAGGGGGCCCACAAAGGGTCGGAGCAAAAACACAGACGGGGGTGGGAAATAAATAAGTAAAGGACCAAACACCCAAGGCAAAAGAAACAAAACCCAAAGGAGAAAGGGGAGGAGGGAGGAGAAAAAAGAAATGGGTTAAGTCACGGGATTTGGAGCATTTTACAATGTAATGGGAAAGGAAGGCATCTACGGAGACAAAGCCACGACTAAGATTCATACAAGGAAAGTTGTGTATAAGGGAGGATTCATCCAGACGGCGACTGTGAAAGTTATAAGTAGGGTAGACAGTTTTAGCAGAAGACCAGTTAATAGGATGACCGGCCATCCAGTCATCCTATTGACTGGATCTCTGATATGAGATCCAGTCACGGTATTGTGCCTTTATGTCATTTATTTAAACACTTCCATGACTGGCTTAGGGGTTAAGCTTTTGGAAACCGGCTTATGGGCTAAGTACAAAGAGTTCACAGGACTGTATTGTAGAGTAGCGTCCATGTGGCATCGTGGTGTGGCGTCCTGGCATTGGGTATAGCTTAGAAGACTGTCTTGGAGCCTGGCTTGGGAGCTAAGTCCTTCCAATCCACAGGATGGTATAGCGTCAATGACGAACAGAAATTAGCGCCGAAAAAACTGAACAGAGCAAAGGGGAGCGAGAATAGAGAAATTTTGTGTGAGGCCAGAAGTGAGCGGCTGTGCTGAAGAGCTGGTAGGCTACCAAACCATACCCCCGGCCGGGATTGAACCCGCGGTCATAGAGTCTCAAAACTCCAGCCCGTCGCGTTAGCCACTAGACCAGCTAGCCACAATAAGATTCATCCAACTAGGTATATTTCTACACCATAGGAAAGTTAGCACAGGTTTATTTGCAATCGTGTCATTACGATTTCTTAAGTCATGTTGACGGCAGTGAAGGGACTTGAGCTAGAGTTCGTCACGGCCACGCTAGCTGGAGATTCGTCTGTAAAAACTTGCATTTGTGGTCACAGAGGTGCCTGTGCTAACTTTCCTATGGTGTAGAAATATACCTAGTTGGATGAATCTTATTGTGGCTAGCTGGTCTAGTGGCTAACGCGACGGGCTGGAGTTTTGAGACTCTATGACCGCGGGTTCAATCCCGGCCGGGGGTATGGTTTATTTGCAATCGTGTCATTACGATTTCTTAAGTCTGGTAGGCTACGCTTAGCACGTGTCTGGGGATTTCGGTCTGTGTCCGACGTCAGAAACACGTGGGGAAGGGATATTAACATACAGTCAACACACTACGAACCTCACCTCTGGTTACCATGGCTGGTAGAGTTATGGCTGGAGACTGTAGAAAGCTTAGGCAACTCAGAGGCTGTAGTAGTATAATACACGTTCTTAGGCAAGATATGTCCAAGGCTTGGTCGTTCACTGAGCTTAATTATCAACTGCTTGGTCATCAATGGGGCTTCCTCTATGGGTCTGAGAGGCTTGGACACTCAGAAAAAGCAAGCCACAAGCGACGATCACAGCTTAGGCAACAAATTCACAGAGAATTTATGAAGACAGCACAGAGGAAATGTGAGTGGTGTCTGAAGGATGAGCAGCAGGTGTGGCTAGGTGAGAGAGTGCCTCTCACCCATGCACAAGTGGATCATGGCAGACCTGACCATAGGGGACACTGACACCAAAAGCCACTTAAATCACTTGTAGCGTGCTCTAACTGGCCGTAACGAAGCTGTAACAGCAAGTAGTGATGATGCTAGGAAAGTACACAGTTGGATCCTGGGAGAGGACACGGTTTAAGCCAGTAGTCGCAAGATGCCTGGAGGGGCGATGAAGCGACTTAACACGTGATTTCTGTCTTACCATTTTTTTTCTGCTGTGCAGACCGCTCTCACCAGATGTATAGATGGGCTTTGTGGCGGTGTGCATTTTGTTGTTGTAGATTGGTTGTGGGCTGGAATAATAGGCGTGAAGGCGAGCCTTACATTTATGGAAGCAATGGGTATACAGTGAATGTTTGTGCTAGCCCCAGGCCAGACCGTATTATTATAATCAAAAAGCTCTAAGCCACAAGGGCTATACAGCGGCCAGGCCGTAGGTCCAGCGAGAGAGTAAGAGATGCGACCTATCTTGCATCCGTTCTGGGAGTGAGAGTGAAACAAGGTGAACTGCGCTGAGCTCTACGTCCGGTTGTTTGGTAACAAATGTTATAGCAGGAAGACGCAAAATACATAGACCTGATTGAGCTTACATTATATGCTATGTTATTGCAAGAAAATGCAGTTCTTGTCTTTTAATTTTGTTTTATTTCCCGTAAATACTGGAGTTTTTGTAATTTTTTTTTTTGGGGGGGGGGGATTTTATTTCCGGAAAAATTGAGATTCTAGTGAAATTTTTTTGCACATTTCATATTTAAGTTTAATATCAACGTTCCGGAAATATATTTTTATTTTTGATGCTTTATTGTTGATAAAAATGTCGGTGTTCGTGTAATATAGTGATGATACGAATGTGTTATTTTCAAAGGTAAATATTGGTTATTTTTCTGTTTTTTTTTTTAGATATTATACATTCCATGATGTTTTCGTTCAGAGAAATTGTAACAATTGGTTCCTTTTTGTACTTGTTCTAATATGACTATTTCTCATTCCCAGGACCCCTGTAAAGTTACCACTCTCACTACGAATGTAACAATTATAAGATTCGCCGGTAGTCTCCCGACCCGGGCCTTTTCCAAGTGGTGGCCCGGCCTTGGCTCCCTCTTTAGGGAGTGTCTGAGGCTTAAGTCTCCCATGGGAGAAGGCACAAGTACCCCCTCATCTTTGGGACCAACTGTCCCCAGGCCTAGCCACAAGCTAGGCCTGTCTGGTCTGCCATCCCCGCCCCAAGGGGGCTAATGGGAATGACAGTCTTGTGAGCTGCAAGCTCTGGCTCAGGCACCTACCCTGCCCTAGGAGGGTTAGGCATGGTGTCGATGAATAATAATAATAATAATAATAATAATAATAATAATAATAATAATAATAATAATAATAACAAAATAAAAACAGTAATAATGTAATAGTAATAATAATAACAGCATTAATAATAATCAAACAACAACAGTAATAATCATGATATAATAATAGTAATTATAAAAAGAATAATAGCGATAATTATAATAAAAACAATAATAATTAAATAATGAAAATAATATTAATACCACTGTTGTTTTAACGAGCTTGGCATTTGCCTATATTTTTTTCTGCCGAAGGGAGAAATTATTTGTTGTTGTTGTTGCTTGTTTTTTTTTTTGTTTTGTTTTGTTTTTCCGCCGTGCACCGCTTTTTTGTTTATACTTCGCCGTTTATCTCGTTCCTTTGCTCCGCTGGGAAACGTCTGTCGTATTCACACGGGAATATTTTCCTAGCAGAATCGACAAATTTTTTCTGCTAGAAAGAAAAAATTTAAACTTACAATGTATTTGAAGAACGATAATTTCTGAAGATTTTTGACGATAGATTTTATTTACGATTTTTTTTTACTAACTTTTATTTATGATTTCTTTTAATTATTTATAACTTTTTTTTATTGATAGCTATTATTTTCGATATTTCATGACGGAAGCTGCATTTTCCATTACTCTTTTTTTTACTATAGCTTTAATTAACGTTATTAACATTAGCTGCATTTATACGTCTTTGAAATATTGTGTTAACATCGGAGTATCTCATTTCCTCATCTCCTTTAAATCATGTGACTCGCTCATCTTACGTGGGTCCTTCAGCGCCAGCAGTGACGGAGGCTCGATCCTCCGTTCCCTAGATGCAAGTCCAACACGCAAATATCATTTATCATAATTCTGTTAAATTTCCCCCCCCCCCTTCTTCAAGGAGGTGTTCTTGATGCGCGGAAGCGCTGTTGATGTAAGGAATTGAAAGTGGACTTCTTTCCTTCCATCGTCAATCAAGACTGATTACCTTCCTTTTCCCAGGCGCTGTGTGACCATATGGGTTTAGCGCATCCCAATGAACATTAGTGGAAATGGAATAAAATACCGACACAATGGAAATATAGACACTTAAGCAGTATAATTTTATCCTTTATTAACAACGTTTCGCCCACACAGTGAGCTTTATCAAGTCACAGATCTTTTTGTGACGTGATAAAGTTCACTGTGTGGGCGAAACGTTGTCAACAAAGGATAAAATTACACTGCTTAAGTGTTTATATTTCCAACATTAGTCTTTACCAGGTCTACCTCCTGGAGGCAATGGACCTGCCTCGCATGGGCCAGTAGGCCTGCTGCAGTGCTCCTTCTTTATGTTCTTATTTCCTCACGATTAATTAGAAATGATCTGAATGTCATTTTTATTTTTTTTTAAATATTAGAATTATTCGCTGCACGACTCTTAAGGATTTAGCGCTCCGTTATGATTATAATTGTTGGAATTACTCACTTTAGTTGTAGTAATAGTAGTAGTAGTAGTAATAGAATAGTAGTAGTGGTAGTAGTAGTCGAAGTAGTAGTAGTAGTCGAAGTAGTAGTAGTAGTAAAAGTAGTAGTAGAAGCAGTAGTAGTAGAAATAGTATTATTATTAGTAGTAGTAGTAATAGTAGTGGAAGTAGTAGTAGTCGCGGTAGTAGTAGTAATAGTAGTTATAGTAGTAATAGTAATAATAGTAGTAACAGTAGTAGTAATAGTAGTAGTAGTAGTCGTGGTAGTAGTAGTAGTAGTAATAGTAGTAGTAACAGTAGTAGTATTGGTAAGCATGAGAGTAACAATGCGGTGTTTGGAAAACAGTTCACAAGTAACTCACGCACGAAGAGGAATCTTTAGACGGCGTTTCGGTCCATTCTGAATCATTCTCAAGTCAACATTGAGCAAAAAAAAAAGAGCCTACTGTTCGTAGGCCTGCAGTACAGTAGACGGAAAATTCTGACACAGAATACTGCCTATGAATATCAAGGAAAGCTTGATTCCCATTCTCCTTTGAACTTGAGAGAAGAAGCAAGATTATTAAGGACATCAAGAATGAATTAGAAAAAGAACTAGCCAGAGAACAAATATATGTATGTAGGGAAGCTAGAGAGAGAAGAACTACCCCAGTAGTAGGAAGCATAACACTCAAAATACTCTATAAAAAAATTAACACTCAAATCTGTTTTTCGGTTCTACCCAAAGTGGCACTAAAGATTTAAGAATGAAATGTGCCTTGGAAATTAAAAGAAGCAGAATCTACATAAATAGGAATAATTTCAAGAAAAAGGTTAGTATAAAGATAAAAAAAAAAATTTCATTAGTCTTCGCTGTGAGAGATCTGAGAATTTCATTAATAGGAATCTAAATAGAGAGAAACTTAACATCAAGGCTTAGCGTCTAATACATAAGTAACTGAACACACTCGATGAAATCCTAAGAATGATGAAGAAAAGGAGAAAAGCAAGAAAACAAAGAGGTAATGATGGGGCGTAGAGGACAACGAAGTTTGTGGATTTTAGAAATAAGACAGAGAGGAAGGAATAACAGAGAAACAAACATATAAGGAAAAGTACGAAGTTTGAGCATGATATAAAGAGAGATAGAAACAAGAACAATGAAAATGCGAGAATTAGAAAGCAAAGATTTGACTTGTTAGACGAAATCCTCGCTACTAAGGACATGCATCGAAATGTTTTTGTCAGAAGGAAATATAACACGATCACTAGATTTAAAAGAAGTGAGGGAAAGCTGATAACGACGAGGAAGTTGGTGACCATTAGGAAAAAGTTTTTCAGGGGTAGACTTGACAAGGATGCTATGATAGCGAGTGTTTAGCGCTTCCCCATGATTGTAATAATAATAATAATAATAGTAATAATAAATAATAATAATAATGATAATAATAATACTAGTATGATAGCGAGTTTAGCAAAATGAGACAAATAAACTTATCAAGTCAGTGCCATCACGAGGACCGAATGAGGTGGCAAAGCAAAAAACCAAAACCAAAGAGTTCAAGTTGATTTTAGGAAAATAGGACAGATAGAAAGACTAGAAATATAAAGAGAGAATTTGGACCAAATCCGACCTTGTTGAATCGGCCCTTTTTCACAGCATTTCTAATAAGAATCAGACTCCACGTTTCCCAATACAATGACAAATGCTCCAATCTTCAGAACATTCTCGTACGTTTTTCTATATTTCTCTCGCCTTAGCTGTCTTATGACTTTCTATTTACTTTTTATTTATTTCCTATCAAAGGACATTTGGCTTACATCAGTACATCTCTTTTTTTTCTGTTCCTCTGTGAGCTTCACCAAGTCCTGCTAGTGAGCGGAGATGTAATTTTTCCTTACTTCTGCTACTATCATTACTACTACTACTATTACTGGAGAGACCTGGAGAGAGTTCCGGGGGTCAACGCCCCCGTAATACCAGTAATACTATTACTACACCTTATTCGTTCCTCCTATCTCGTCTCTACCTGTCATCAGGTACAGACGAGAGAGGTGCTTTTTCTCGCTCATATATGACTTAATAATGTTCTACGACGAAGCGAAACATTATCTCAGATTCCCTAAGAATGCGTAATTTGTAAATTATCATTATTAGTAGTAAGTAGCAGTAGCAGTAGTAGTAGTAGTAGTAGTAGTAGTAGTAGTAGTAGTAGTAGTAGCAGCAGTAATAGTAGTAGCGTCACTATCATTAATTTTATTTTGCATATAGCAAAAGATTCATCGTGTAGTCTCGTGTATCTTCACTGAACACTCAGGTGACACTACAATCATTACTACGATCTCACTACTAGACTCCCCATTAACATGAGAACATCAGAAAGAATGCTGCAGCAGGCCTACTGGCCTACAGGTCCAGGCCTTCTACCGGCTTAAGCCAATGACCCAACCTAGTTATGTCAGGTCACTTCCACTTAAGGAAGGCGCACGGTATCAGACTCCTAGCACAAGCTAGTTAGGTTCAACTCACAACCACTCGTGTATTTATCTAACCAATTTTTAAAACTACACAACGTTTTAGCTCTCTTGACTATATACCTCATGAATAACACACATGTGTACCACTTGGGTAAAAGTTGTCGGAAATAATTCCGAAAACCTTCACCAGCGTAGGCCTTTCTTTTGAATACAGAGGCAATTTTAATACCGGAGACAGTGGAAAAAGTGGAGAGGTTACTTTAAGGTTGTCAGTCCCATAGCCTCGAAGAGCTGATAGAAGGTGGTCAGACCCATAGCCTAGAAGAGTTAATAGAAGGTTGTCAGTCCCATAGCTTACAAGAGTTAATCGAAGGTTGTCAGTCCCATAACCTAGAAGATATGATAGAAGGTGGTCAGACCCATAGCCTCGAAGAGTTGATAGGTGGTCAGACCCATAGCCTAGAAGAGTTAATAGAAGGTAGTCAGTCCCATAGCCTAGAAGATTTGATAGAAGGTGGTTATTTCCTTAGACTCGTAGCGTTAATAGAAGGTGATCAGTCTCTTAGTTTCGTAGAGTTTATAAGTATACAAGTCCCTTGACTTCAAGATAAAAGGTGATAAGTCCCTTAGATGTTCAGTTTTAAGCCTGCTGTGCAGGCGATACGTTTCAGCAGATATGATAACCAAGTTGAACATCGGATTTATTCATCAACTTGTCGATATTGTACGTAACTAATAATAATTTCTACCTGTATTCATCATAATCATTACAGATTATCATCACAATTCAACATCAACATCTACAAATTATCGCCATCATTCAAAATTACCGGTAAAAACTTTTACATGCACTACCACTACTAACTAGCTATTATTATCACTATTCACCACCACTACCAGCCACTGCTAACTTCCACTATCCCAACTAACCAACTCCATTTTTTACCATTTAACCCCTATAACTAGTTACAACAACTATTAACGATTACCACTTAACACCAACACTAACCACCATCTAATCTTTACAACTATTCACCATCATTACTACCACTAACTCTCAATACTAAACATTATCACTAACAACCATCCACCACCACTACTACTACTAGTGTAACCAGCGCCATATCTGCCATTTAACAGCTCCCACCACCACTAGCTACTACTACTACTACTACCACCACTGCTAATCAAAACCACTAATATCCCTCCCTCTGGTCTTCCACAGGTGACCAGCCAGCAGCCATTGTGCACGAGAATAACAGTGGGTCGTGCATCAACACTAGGACTCGCGCAGTCTCCTGCGTCTTCCTCAGCATCCTCCTAGCTCCCAGGATCTTCTTGTAGTAACATCCTTGCTTATAGGATTTTCAAACATCCTTATGTTGCTCACGGAGGAGAGGACACGGGAGGACAGACATTAGCCAGTATTGTTGGTGTTCTTAATGGTAGTTTCTTTGGTCCTCGTATTTATGTATATGCGTATAAATTTGGGAGAGAGACAGAAACTACGATCGTTAAAAGAAGAACCCCTTACACGGTATTCTGAAGCTGAGGACTTGGGGCTCGAAACCCGTGTGGATATGGGATTCTGAAGATAGGCACATGAGGTGAGAATAACAGGTTCAATCACAAACGACGATTTGCGTAGCTGCAATCACATACTAGCTTCTACTACGTCTCTACTTATTATACATAAACAGTTACCCGAAATCCATTACCCGCTATTTGGCTCTCACCACCGTTAATTAGAACCGTCAAGCAACACTCTTGCAATTCCATCATCCAACACCATCCCACAACAACGTCATGCAATATAAGTCACGGTTAGTTGGTTAATGGGGTTTCAAGCCTAACGACTACAAGAGGGTAATTAAGGCTACACCTTTTCGCTACCAGTCAGAATACGTTAATCCTTAAAATTAGGATTAAAGTAAATTTTCAGAGTATATACACAGACATACACTTCTCTCTGTATATATCCTGTGGTGAGTACCAGCTAAGGTACATACTTTAATATGAGACAGATACTACTAGCTTGGCATGTACGCTGGTACTATCAGTCATGTTGAAAAGGAGGAAAAAGAATACTTGGGCTTTTTATCCCCGGTGGGTTATTAATCCCTGTGGGCTTCTAATCCAGGAGGGCTGTAACCCTCAACGGTAATCCACGAAAGCCAAGCCGTGTGGTTTATGTCCACGGGAGACCACTGTCCCTCTTCCCAGGATGAGACCCAAAACAGCCTGCTAACACCCAGGTATCTAATTACTCTTGGGTGAACAGAGTCAGCAGGTGTAGCATATTTGTCTATGCATCTGAACTCGCCTGACGTATAATCCAGATCCTTCAATTGCGAGATGAACGAGCTACAACTGGTACAAGTCTCGTTGGCCCTTGTTTCGCCTTCAGTCCAAAACGATCTTTATCTTACTTTAGCCATTCACTTTCCAGTACCCAACATCCTATAAAATTTTCCAGTCATTTTATTCAATATTTGAGTGAAAAAGAGATTTACGATACGAAATTTAATTCTTTATGCAAACTATCAATCCGAATCAATATGATAACCGAAACTTTATGTAGATAAATGGTTAGACACCTGTGCAACACTTGGGTATCTTTAATGAGGAAACGTTTCGCAACACGATGTATGGACTGATTCTTCTTGATTCGCCGGTACTCTCCCGGCCCGAGCCTTTTCCAAGTGGTGGCCCGGCCTTGGCTCCCTGTCTCGGGAGTATCTCGGACAAATGTCTGCCATGGGAGGTGGTGCAAGTACCTCATCGTCGGGACCAACTGTACCCAGGCCTAGCCACATTCATAAGAACTTAAGAAAGAAGGAACACTGCAGCAAGCCTAATGGCCCATGCGAGGCAGGTCCAAGTCTCCTACCGGCCCAGGCCAATGCCCCAACCTAGTCAGGTCAGGTCACATTCACTTAAGGAAGGAACACGGCAACTGACCTAGTAGCACAAGCTAATCAGGTCCAACTGACACCCACCCACACCCACTCATGTATTTATCTAACCTATTTTTAAAACTACACAACTTCTTAGCCTCTATAACTGTACTCGGGACTTTGTTCCACTCATCCACAACTCTATTACCAAACTAGTGCTTTCCTACATCCTTCCTGAATCAGAATTTTTCCAACTTAAAACCATTGCTACGAGTCCTGTCTAAGCTAGATATTTTCAGCACGTTATTTACATCCCCTTTATTTATTCCCGTCTTCCATTTATATACCTTAATCATATCCCCCCCTAATTCTACGCCTTTCTAGAGAGTGCAGATTCAAGGCCCTCAGTCTATCCTCATAGGGAAGATTCCTGGTAGATGGGATCTACTTTGCCATCCTCCTTTGTATGTTTTCCAGAGCATTTATATCCATTCTGTAATACGGTAACCAAAACTGTGCAGCATAATCCAAATGAGGCCTAACCAAGGATATAGAGTTGAAAAACAACCTGAGGGCTCCTTTTATTTATGCTTCTTGATATGAAGCCAAGGATTCTGTTAGCTTTATTGCGAACAGAATCCTTGGCTTCATATCAAGAAGCATAAATAATAGGAGTCCTCAGGTTGTTCTTCAACTCTATATATCCTTGATTAGGCCCCGCCCTCACGGGGCTCGTAGGGAGAAGCTAGGCCTCTCTGGTCTGCCATCCCCGCCCCAAGGGGGCTAATGGGGATGACAGTCTTGTGAACTGCAAGCTCTGGCTCAGGCACCTACCCTACCCTAGAAGAGCTGGGCATAGTGTCGATCTATGGACTGATGAAACCACTGTGTGGCGAAACGTTTCCTCGTTAAAAATACCCAAGTGTTGCACATGTGTCTAATTTATGAAACTTCATGAACAATATTCTTCCTTCTGCAATTTACCTACTTGAAATTCAGCCCAAAGTTATAGAATGTTGATGACATTCGTGAGGAATGTCATCAACAATCACAGTTCTGTATTTGACTCATTAATACTGTATCAAAAACCTGAAGAACGGACGTACTTGAGTGGCCATGTTAAACCGTTTTTATTAATTTACTTAAACCCCTTAATGAAGCTCTTAGATATAGCGCTGGGACTTTGTATATATCTGTGTAAGAGTGTGTGCGGTCGCGTGAGTGTATATATGTATACGTGTAGGTGTCTGTGTAAATCAATAACATAAACCGTAACTTGGTTTACAAATTTTTCTGGATACTCTCAGTACCCTTCCGTATATTCTTGGAGTGGCTGCTCCCAGTTCCACCTTCTTTTGGAATGGGTCCTCCCCAGTACCCCCCTATTCTTGGAAAGGGTGATATCTGTACCCTAAATTATGGGTGTGTGAACTCCCAGTGCCACCCATGGTGAGTGAAGGCTCTCCCAGTGCAACTCATGCTGGGTGTAGGCTCTCCCAGTGCAACTCATGCTGGGTGTAAGCTCTCCCAGTGCAACCCATGCTGGGAGAAGGCTCACCCAGTGCAACCCATGCTGGGTGAAGGCTCTCCCAGTGCAACCCGTGCTGGGTGTAGGCTCTCCCAGTGCAACCCATGCTGTGTGTAGGCTCTCCCAGTGCAACCCATGCTGGGTGTAGGCTCTCCCAGTGCAACCCATGCTGGGAGAAGGCTTTCCCAGTGCAACCCAGCTGGAGAAGGCTCACCAGTGCAACCATGCTGGAGAAGGCTCTCCCAGTGCAACCCATGCTGGGAGAAGGCTCTCCCAGTGCAACCCATGCTGGGAGAAGGCTCTCCCAGTGCAACCCATGCTGGGAGAAGGCTCTCCCAGTGCAACCCATGCTGGGAGAAGGCTCTCCCAGTGCAACCCATGCTGGGTGTAGTTTTCTCGCCTCTTTCGCGAGTTAGAAATTGTTTACTCATAGATAAGTAGTTTAATTATAGTAAACAATAAACAAACAAAAAATGTATATAGTGATCATCCTTCAAATATATTTAATAGAAAAAAACTTTGCGTTAAAAAACGTACATTATTATTATTATAATCAAGGGGAAGCGCTAAACCCGGAGGATTATACAGCGCCTGGGGGGGGGGATGTGGAAGGCATTCAGGCTTAATTCGGGAAACTGGAACACAGATCCAATTCCCTAAATCAAGAGCCCCTCACCAACATCAAGGAACCTTCCTTGAGGGGTAAAAAAAAAAAAAAAAAAAAAAAACACGTACAAATTTAGTTAATTTTTGGGAGGGAAGAAACTTTTACTATTTATTTAGACTTGAATTATTAAAAAATAAATACCCGAAGAAATTAGATTTGGAATAAATGTAATTTATACGAGGTATTTTCTTGTCAGTTCTGATGGCTAAGATACGAGATGCACTTAAAAGTTTTTTTTTTTTTCTGTTTAGAGCCTTTTTATGTCACGCCTTAATAAAGCTCTACACAGAGCATAACACTGTATCCAAACAAGCTTGTTCTGCAATTTGCAATTTTGTCTTCATAATCACCTGCAATACTTCAGTTCATTCAGTTCTGACGTCTGATGCCGGTAGATTTTTAGGCCACCAGATTTTGTATTTTGTTTTATCTAGATTCTAGAGTATCATTTTTTTTCTAAAGCACAAATTTTTATTTTTTGCTTTATCTAGAGCCCCAACTTTCATTTTTTGTTTTATCTAGAGCCCCAACTTTCATTTTTTGTTTTATCTAGAGCCCCAACTTTCATTTTTTGTTTTATCTAGAGCCCCAACTTTCATTTTTTGTTTTATCTAGAGCCCCAACTTTCATTTTTTGTTTTATCTAGAGCCCCAATTTTCATTTTTTGTTTTATCTAGAGCCCCTACTTTCATTTTTTGCTTTATCTAGAGCCCCAACTTTCATTTTTTGTTTTATCTAGAGCCCCAACTTTCATTTTTTGTTTTATCTAGAGCCCCCAACTTTCATTTTTTGTTTTATCTAGAGCCCCAACTTTCATTTTTTGTTTTATCTAGAGCCCCAACTTTCATTTTTTGTTTTATCTAGAGCCCCAACTTTCATTTTTTGTTTTATCTAGAGCCCCAACTTTCATTTTTGTTTTATCTCGAGCCCCAACTTTCATTTTTTGTTTTATCTAGAGCCCCAACTTTCATTTTTTGTTTTATCTAGAGCCCCAACTTTCATTTTTTGTTTTATCTAGAGCCCCAACTTTCATTTTTTGTTTTATCTAGAGCCCCAACTTTCATTTTTTGTTTTATCTAGAGCCCCAACTTTCATTTTTTGTTTTTATCTAGAGCCCCAACTTTCATTTTTTGTTTTATCTAGAGCCCCAACTTTCATTTTTTGTTTTATCTAGAGCCCCAACTTTCATTTTTTGTTTTATCTAGAGCCCCAACTTTCATTTTTTGTTTTATCTAGAGCCCCAACTTTCATTTTTTGTTTTATCTAGAGCCCCCAACTTTCATTTTTTGTTTTATCTAGAGCCCCAACTTTCATTTTTGTTTTATCTAGAGCCCCAACTTTCATTTTTTGTTTTATCTAGAGCCCCAACTTTCATTTTTTGTTTTATCTAGAGCCCCAACTTTCATTTTTTGTTTTATCTAGAGCCCCAACTTTCATTTTTTGTTTTATCTAGAGCCCCAACTTTCATTTTTTGTTTTATCTAGAGCCCCAACTTTCATTTTTTGTTTTTATCTAGAGCCCCAACTTTCATTTTTTGTCTTATCTAGAGCCCCAACTTTCATTTTTTGTTTTTATCTTGAGCCCCAACTTTCATTTTTTGTTTTATCTAGAGCCCCAACTTTCATTTTTTGTTTTATCTAGAGCCCCAACTTTCATTTTTTGTTTTATCTAGAGCCCCAACTTTCATTTTTTGTTTTATCTAGAGCCCCAACTTTCATTTTTTGTTTTATCTAGAACCCCAACTTTCATTTTTTCTTTTATCTAGAGCACCAACTTTTATTTTGTTTTTGTTTTATCCAGAGCACCAACTTTCATACATACTGTTTTATCAAGAGTAAGTTATAAGCGTTCTTCTGATTTATTCCAGTGTACGAAGTATTAGAGTCACACACAAAGAATGTCGTATCACATCAAAATTTAATAACATTTTAAGATATGAGACAAAATTATACTATGTTTATTGTTTTTTTTTTTTACCTCATTTTACCCCGAATCATTTAAGACATTTAGTGCAGTGAAAATTCGTAGTATAGACGATATTTTGCTCTGGAAGAGCCAGATATCGTCAGTAAGAAAGGTATGGTATTCACCAAGTGTTTTTCTACCATACTTGCTAAACTGGATAGCAATACTTGCTAAACTGGATAGCAGTACTTGCTAAACTGGATAGCAGTACTTGCTAAACTGGATAGCAGTACTTGCTATTCAACATATAATATCATAACCTTTTTAATATACCTTGTGTAATATACCTTGTGTAATGTTAAAGTCATCCCCTACCAATTATTGTATTATGCTGAGGCAAAATCTACACGTACAGAGGATATGTTTAGACGTGTCATGATGCATTGTTATACTAGATAGATATTTATATGTGTATTAAATGTATATAATTAAATGATAATCTGTGTCTGATACGGAAATTATGTAAAATTCGATTATCTCTCTCATCTTTTTCTCAGAATCAACGCCTTTTGTATACAATGTAAATACTTGTATTTGTCCTACTGTATATTTTTGTAAAATACAGTCAAATCTTGACAATGGCATTTTCATTGTAAATCCTTCTTTAGACTTCTTCATTGTTTACAATGTTGTGTTTGGGTGACTTTCTTACTACTAAACCCAACGGCAGATCACTAGCTTAGTGTTTGTCTGGTGATTAACAGAGGACAGAACTTCCAGCAGTCATGCTTTATGTTTACATGATCCCTATAATCCGACCATGACTCAATGGAGCCAGACAATGGCTTCCTGGTGCTTGACTAACACAAATGAATTACTTGGATTTTTTCAAATTCGTCTAAGATGGAACATGGATACTGAGTGTGGTTTTTGCCTATGATGCTCCAAAGAGTTAGGAATACAGTGTGCAGAAAACCTTCAGTATGATAGGATTTCAACCTCTCCAAAATATTGTTTAATAAGATTGAGCTTAAAACCATAACCTGTACTCGAGAAAATACCAGGGATGGAGTAAATAAAATAAAAAAAAATAAAGTAATAACGCAACTACAAATGCTAGCAAGTGTAACATAGCCATCCTCTCCCCTCCTCTCTCTTTTTGGCCATTTATCACTGCCAGAAGGCACTGTTGTGAGGCAGGTAACATGGCACAAGTTTGCACTACAACTCTTAAATTTAACATGGTAATATAAAAAAATATTTGATATTTTATTTAGAATATATAGATCCTTGCAAGTCTCGAAAAGGTGTTCTAATTCAACAGATCGAAAACAAAAATCTTAGAGTTAAGATTTGCTATTAAAACACAAATAACCAGCACATAAAAGAGAGAGGAGCTTACGACGACGTTTTGGTCCGACTTGTAAATGGTTCAAGTCGGACCGAAACGTTGTCGTAAGTTCCTCTCTTCTATGTGCGGGTTATTTGTGCATTGTTCCAGTCACGGTATTGTGCCTTTTTTGTTATTTCCTATCAAACATCTTTAAAAGTATGTAACTATTAAGTAATGAGCAGAAGTTACACATTTTAGTAATCACCCATTTAGATATTGTCCCAAATACTTATTCTGCTGTACAGTAAGACAGTGAACATGCAGACTGAGGTTAATTTGAACACTCACACGCAAATTCAATGCCTGACAAACTCATCATTGAAATGCAAATAAATTAAGAGATTACTTCGATTATTCACTCAGAACAAGTAATTATGTAATCATTCAATACAGGTAATTGTTATCACTCAACAAAGGCGTTGTCGATAAACAGGGTTCATACTGACACTAATCACCTCGTCAGTCAAGTCCAAGACGCCAGCCATACCGTGCCTAGCTTATGTAGACTTCCCTCTTCGACAGTATACTGGACGTTGGCTACTTGCCAATCAGATGTCCTTGATGACATCTGGTGCCTGTTCCAATTCCAGGCAGAGATCTCCAGCACACTTGATCACTGATGGAGTGTAAGCCAACCCACCTGGATACTAGCTGCGCGTGGCTGACACACTTGACCAGCTCTGGGACTGGCTCCCATTAATTTGAACCAACACATTACTTATACTAGGTCCCTGCCTATCTTGTACAAGATTATGGATCCTAATCTGAATAATGGAAAAGGTTGGAAGACGGACCATGGGCCTTCGGTTACGTCTACCTGCAGGTTCCGACTAACGGTACAAACGAGACGTCTGTACAACATACCCATTCACTTCTGCCTGGCTAGATACATGCAGCCATCATATCTGAATATCTCCCCGAATCCTAATGGATAACACTCCCTCACATATGTTCAAGGGGACAAGGTTATGTTTACTTCTCTTGACTGAATCCCGGCTTAGATCCGGAGATCCACGAATCACTTAACTAGGGTCTCCAATACTTCCACACCGCCGGTTTTAACTAGGCGTTGAAGCCAATTATACACACAGGTTGGGAATGTCAGATAGCTAAGCTATCGAACTTTTAAAAATTTAAAAAAAACAAATTAAACCCTTTTTTAACAAACCCCTTTTAAAACCCAAAAAAATTCTCGTAAAAAAAAAAAC